TTACTTGCTTCAACCCCCTTAAGCAAATCATTTATGGCTGAACTGCCATTTCACGCCATTCACAATCTTTAAATCGCTGTTTTAACTTCTCGACATTTTCACCAACAGGCTGTCAAAAGAAGATTGACTACGTTAAGGAGTTGCCTTTAAGGCAAAAACAACCTCTTTCATCAATCTACCAATGACATTTCGTACCGAAGGTAGGTAAGAAACACATGTCAGATAAATGTGGTGCTAACCTTGTATAGGCCAGTCGGGACGTCACACATACGTGACAGTGGAGGTAAAGTTGTTTATGTTTACTTTTCGAGTTGGATTTGTGAGCGGTACCTTCATGGGATACGAAGAGTTCAGTTTTAGATAAAACAACAACTGGAACGTTCACACTACTTTGGTAGAGAAAGTGCCACTGAGGATATTATCTATTCCTGTGTTTAACAGTAATGCCAAACCTTTTGGAAGGCCTAGTGGATTGAAACCATTTCACATGCCATTTATAACTCACCTCAAATCACGGCTTTCGGAGTGGCAGTGCTCGTAAATTACAAAGGCGTTGAAGAAATCAAGCCTTACGCATCCTCATTTGAATTATAGCCATACCAAAGAGCGAGGAACAACAACACTTAGGGTGGACATGATTTTAGAGTGATAGATGTGTGTGTGTGGGAGTATAGCGTCTTTTTGGTCTCTATCAGACCAAAATGTCTCACAAACTTTGTGTTTCACCCTTGTCCGCCTCCCCCAAGAGTCACAGTCCCAAGTAGATGCCCGTACGTTTACAAATTAATTTTCAGTCTGCCGACTCTCCGCTCCAGTGGCAGTTACTGTCACCGCGTTCCTCCTAGCAGTCAAAAAAGAAACTCGGCCGACACAACCGAATGAAATTAGCAATTGCCTCACCGAACTGCCAAATCCCACTTCCGTCCCAAAAGCAAGAAAGAAAGTGCGATTATCCTCAAGCCCAGGACTGAACTGAGCTGTTGGCACTGTGATTGATGACAACCAAGTACCATCAAGTGTTGGGATGCACATATCACATACATAATACTGGTGTAGCGAACGTGTTACCTTCCAATTGGGCGAAACTCTTCACCGCCAATCCAAGGTGGGTTCAATTTTACTGTTAATTTTCCACACACATCAACACAGCGGCAGAGACAACTTTTGGTTGCTAAAACACGCTCCTAAGTGGATAACAGATGTCTGGAATGAAACGACCCCGACGGCATGTCGGAGGTCCACTTCTTCGACCAATTGATTTTACAGGCACCTTAATGTTTTCCTCGACTTATTATTCCTCTGATTACTTGCTTTAAACCAATTTTAGCCGGATTTTTTGGCTGGTAGTCCCCTGAAACAACAAGCACTTCACCTTCAACTGAAGCAATAAAGATATGGCAATGATTTTGAAGATTCTGGTAGTTTCAACGTGAAATCGATGTTAGAGAATGCTTTTTAATTAAAATATTATAAGTACGTGATTTTATATGTGGAACGAAGGTAATTAACACCTTATCTACTAGCGTCACATATACGTGACAAGTGTTCCTCAACTAATGCTAACTGATCGTCCCAAATCGGGCTGCAAATAGATTAGTTGAGTTTAAATTGATACGTAATATTCTAAAATGATTTAAATTTTTTAGCACTGCTTTGGTCAAAATTCTTTTAAATTAAGTTGATGGGTTCCCCTTTTATGCGCTGTTTTGGTTCAATAAAATGTCCCTTTTAATCAACTCAACCCTGTTCTGAAGATTTACATCCTCACTGATGCTGCTCATCGGCCGGTCTTTTTCTTCCTCTTAATTCTGACTCGGGCCAAAACAGCAAAATCTCAACTGAATGCTGCGCCTTCATGAATAGTTCAGTGCTCGGTGTGTTGGCAATGCTGCATTTATTAGTCAACTAACAGCGCTACGAGTTTTTCCTGAGGGCGGAAGAAGACACAAAACTCGGGCAGAATATGTAACGCCGACGTACAGAAGGGTCGACGGGGGCTAATGGCATGCCCTGGAGGCCGTGCCGTCTAACGGAGGAACAAAGGCGGGGCCTCAAGTGCCCGCAAAACCGAAACACAGAGTTAAATAAACAATCGAAGTATTAAAAACTGTTATTTAATCTTAATCTAAATATCCTTTCCTAGAGAATAGTACTGACTTCATTTTTTACTAACCCCTTCCTTTCAGTTAATCTTCATTGATAAGTACACCTGTAAATCCATGGAATAGGCAAAACCTCTTCGTGAATTTGGAGGACAAGGCGCCCTACCCCCTAATTATTTATTCTCTCAGCAACCGGGACAGCTTGAAATAGCCCTAGGGTTAATGCGTGTGATTCCAGCGCCATGTGCACACAATTTGTCTGTGCTATGTCTTCGTCACAAATAAGTGTCGTCTTCTCAATCAATTAAACTTGACTGATGGTGCCAAACCGCGCATCGAAAACAAAGTGATGAAAACAATAAAGCGGGTAGATTAGTGGGTATTTTTGTTAAATTGTGAAAAGTAGAATTTAGCTTTAAAAAGCTGTCCATTCGATGTAGCAAGTGTCAGTGACGTGTTTGCGCCTCCGATTGCCTCTGACAATGATCCTGAGTCGAATTGTCAACATACACTAGGTCGACGTTGCATAAGTCATTATGAGTCTACTTCTGGGCTTCATTGGCCTCAAAACACAAAATATGGAAAATATAAAGGGAACCAATCCACCAACATCATTATTTTTATGCATCGAAGGGCCAAGGCCCAAAATGTGAGCATTTGACAGGGTCACCGCCGGTGAAAACCGCAGTGTGACAGGAGGCTATTCAAATCTCTGCTGCATCACCGATGGACTCTGAGTTTTGATGGCATTGCTCTACTTTTTTCTTTTCCCTCAGATCAGCGCGCACGAATGTCTCGAGTGAACAAGCATTACCCATTCGCGGAGCGAAAGGGAGAGGGTTTATTTCAACTGTCGCTAATAGATGCGGGGTCGTTGCGTTTTCATTTCGTCTGTGCAGAGAGAGAGAGAGAGAGAAAGGTACCCCAAGTTCACCTTGAAGTTTCTCCCATAAACCTCCTCCCCTCTTGTCTGCCTGCACTAATCGCCCATTTGTGTTGTCGCTCGCATCGAGGCGGAGAGGGTGGGGGGGGGGGAAGATCGAAAGTAGTTGCATTAACTAACGTACCACACCACACACAAACCCTCACACACACACGCACAAGGTAGCGGCGTCAGCTGTTTCACTCTCCTCTCCCTCTGTATGCTTGACGTAGGGCATTAAAAGTGGGCCGCACATTTATACTCCCCTCGTTCTCTATCTGTGCGTCCAAGTGTTAAATTTTGGTAGTGCCTTTGGCACCTTTGACCTCGTTGTTGCAACTGTCACCAGCTCTATGGGAGAGGGGTGGGATGGCTTGGGGGTTAAATTCCGTAATGGACTGCTCTTGAACTAAAACAGCCTTTCCATGAATTTTAGCCACTGATTCAGAATCAGGACAGACATGGAAGTAGCCAATTAAAATTTGGGTTTTTTGAAAAGAATATAGGCCGTTTATTGCGCTGATTTGGCAGACTCAAATGGCCTTTGGTTTTTGGATGGCTTCTTCCTTCTATAGGCGATAAGTTAAACTGCTTTAGATGGAAATGAGAAGGCATCTGAGAGAAGTAGTGTAATGACTTCGCGGATGAATTTCTGTCTCTTTACCTCCGATTGGTGTTCCACAAATTTTGATAACCCTTCTGCTTTGGAAAAATAATTCCACATTTAGACAAAAAACGAACCTTTTATCTGCAGATAAAATTTGAAGATAACTTTACGCAGTACTGGAATATTTGGTTAGTCGAAATTTCCCAAGTTCTGCGCGACTTAACAATATACTAGTCTAATTCAAATCCAGCAGGAATTTACAACTTAAAAAGTAGCTGAATGGCATATTTGATCAATTTCTTTTCTACCAAAACAGTGCTAGATCAACACTACCATGATTGCATCTGCAAGGCGGTCCAATTCCCCCTCCTGAGCCTGGCGACGCAAATGCGTGACATGAGTACTTTATCAGTAAACAGATCGGGTGAGCTCAAAATAGCAATCCAGGTGTACAAGATGGTCTTGGCTGATAATAGCCACTTTATTTTAGGTGTTGCGCGGCGGCTGAAAATTACCAGCGATTTAAAATCACCTCAGAACAATGAAATGGCGGAACAGTGGTGGTCAAGCTTCCCCTCGGCCTCCTAAAAGACTTTAAAGTCTGTTCTCAAAATCTAAGAAGAGAACAAAAAAGCTGTTATCCTAGTATGACTACAAGTTCATGGAAAAGTCTCGGTATCCTATATGTGAGACTGACAACGAAAGTGTTAACGGTAAGCCAGAGGATATAGTCAATAAATTCATTGGCATTTGTTCGCCGTTAATTGTGAACCAGATTGGTCCTCAAAACGCTTTACTAGGGGATTCAATACTTTCTGAACCAACACTAGTGAATACAACCGTTTCGCGTACCAGACAACACTAAATCAACAAAAAGTGCAGATAACCGAGTGCCTTGAAGCCAGAGTGAAGCCCCGGTCCCAGCGCAGTGAATCGACTCATTTAGTGCGTTCAACCGCGTACGAAGCGTGTTACAACGCGCATTAGAATTTTGTCTACGCAGTTTTGCTGTCGCAAATGGGTTTAATATACCATGGAGAGTGAGTAGCTGTTTGGCAGGTCTATCCAAAATTTGTCCATTCTGACTAATTACTCTCATAGGGACAAATCCACTCGGAAGAGATAATTGCATCCACCAATTCTTGAGGATACTACCAAGAAATTACAGAAGTACGACCTCTTCCTGACTATTTACATTTACAAGGGCCTTGCTGATTGGACAATAATGTGGCGTGAACTCATACGCGCGCAAACTCCTGTTCCCGTTGACCAATCAGATAACAGCTTGCACGCGAGTGGTCGAGGTTGCCGCGCGAAGCAGCAGAAGCGTTATAAATAGCACTCGCATGGTTTACGTGGCCACAGCAAAATGTGGTCGGCCCTCGAATCCAAGGATGTTTTACCTGGAGTAAAGAACGAACAACCTGATGTCTTTCAAATGATGTGGAATAATGCCTTCTCCCTGGTCGGTCCTACCCCCCAAATGGGCGAGGTGGTGCTTCAAAAACAACTCAATGCTTCCTCCCTGCTGCAACACGCCCTGACAATTCTCTCTAAGCGAGTTCCTTCTGATTCTTCCAAGCCCCAAGTTGTACCCAAACAAATCGGTGAGCTGCGAGCGTATATTTTTATGGTTTGAAGTTGAGCAGCATATGGGGAAGGGATTTCATGATCGTGGCCATCTGTCGATATCGTTGAGATTTGTGAGTCGGACCGACAGCTCAAAATTTGTCTAGACCGGAGAGAAAAGGGCCATGCGAAGGGGTAGGTACACGAGCACCCTTCACGGGACCACCTGCCATGCAAATTTAAGCCGCACCTGCGGTAAGTTGACAACAGAATCAATAAATCATCGCCTACATCCTCCCACCGTCTGTCCCACAATAACCACTGAGGGGAATGCATTGGGACTCGCTGATCTGATCGGAGATCGTAGCTGCATTGTTGATGAGTGGAGGACAGAGGGGGGGTGTTTGGGGGGGGGGGGGGGAGGACGTAAGCGAGACATTTTTCACACTTTCGTGGGATGGGAAAACTCACTTCCCACGCCAGTTGATTACACTGCACTTCATCCATTATTAAGGGATTCCACGGTACCTGATTTTTTTCTTATTCCGTTATTTAAGCAGATGGAGGATCCAGTGGTGATTCACCGCCATCATTCCGGAACTTTTCTAGTGAGAACCTCAAGCAGCCACCACCGCCACCGTGGTTTACCTTTGCATTCCATCCCCCGGTTCAAGCAAATCAATCATCTCAGCAGCCTCCCATTGATCTCTCAAAAGAGAAATCCCCCAAATATAGTAATTTTTCCATTCCCCATCTTTTGGGCCAAATTCCAGACGAGAATGCGCGTCCGACGAAGACTTGCTTCGAATGCACCTTCTGCGGACGAAGCTACGTCACAAAGACGGGTCTTCAACGGCACCAGAACCAATGTCCTAGAGTGGACAGTGGAAGGCTAACTCCACCATCTCCTGAAAGTCCAGATCCTGACGAACATGCGTCATCTCTGTCACCGTCTTCATCGGCAATCTCACGGCAATACACCTGTCACGTTTGTGCCAAGATCTACTACTCCATGTCAGCACTGAAGATGCATATTCGGACGCACACTCTACCCTGCAAATGTAACATCTGTGGGAAGGCGTTTTCTCGCATGTGGCTCCTGAATGGTCATCTGCGGACGCATACAGGTGCGTCGACCTTTCATAATTCTTCACTCCTTCCCTTGGTTATTTTGAGCATTACATAACGAGGTGGTTATGATGATTCTTGACAGGCGAAAAACCATTTGCCTGCCGGGTGTGTCAGAGGGCTTTTGCGGATAGATCGAATCTGCGAGCGCATATGCAGACGCACTCGGAGGTGAAGCGATACCGCTGTGAGGAGTGTGGCAAGACCTTCTCGAGAATGGGCCTCCTGACAAAACACACACGTTCGGGATGTTCCACCCAGCTGTCCACCGGTTCGCCACCACCTCAACAAGTCGACTCCTCGCAACTTCAGCGGAACCCAGCGTCGATTTTCTCCTGAGTTTTGTTTGTAATTTGATGAGCGAATGAGTTAGAGAGGCTTTTTGAAGATATTCCTTGCTGATCAAGTGTGCTAAGTCTATGATTTTTATCAATCGATTAAGGGACGAATGAACGCCCCAGGAGGTGCGTTGAGATGAGGCCTTATAAAAAAAAATTAGGTAATGGTTTTAGTATATTCAAGTTCAATGCCTTCAAATGTCTGCCTCTTTCATTGCCCATTGTAATTATCCACATCCCTTTACCGACTGTCGATAGTGCGCCTTTGGATGTCGGTCTCTCTACCGAATCCGCACGGGGATGCATCAAAATTGAATTAGCTTCCTCTAATCGTTTTGGCACTTTTATTAGCTTCATTGGAACTCGACGTTGATTTTCTCGTATATTCCGTCTTTGACTTGGCAAGGGGAAAAGGCGGGGGTGGCAGTTTGGGAGTACTGTGTGTTGATTGACTATGCTAATTAAGGACCTCTTTTGAGCTACTAGGGGCTCGATGGGTTGTCCAAGTGGTCTGTTGACTCAGAACTGCCCGGAACTGGGAAGTGGCGATTGCTGACTGTCCACGATCTTCCCAGTGTCGAGGACTTCAGGGTCGATTGTGTGCGTAAAATCGGTTTATAGCTACTGGATGAATGCCCCAATAAAACTCAGCCAGAGAGATTGTTTTTTTTTGAATAAGAAGTATTTGTGGTCCTTTCACTGAGTTCCACTTGATAATTCTTACTCTCCTTTTTTGAGAAGAATCCCTTGACTATCTATTAGGGCCTCAGCGGAGGCCAGACCACTAACGCTTGTACTTGGGAGGGGACCAATTAAACTGGTGCCAACCCAAAAATCAGGAATGTAATTGCCCCCAGACAAAGGACATCCCGCCCATATTTTATTGCGCCCTAACCAACCAACCAATCTCTTTGAAATGCGGGATTTTAGCTTTGATCGCTCGGTGGCTCCCATAAACAGCTCACATTTGTCATATCGCTAGCGGACAGGAAAAATTGAGGCCTTTATGTATGCTCAGCTCCATGGTTCTTCTTCCTTCTGTTCAGAAATCGCGTAAATTTAATTTTAGAATATAAGCTTTAGGCAGTACGCTTAATTTTGATCTCGTTGATTGGACTCCTTAGACCTTCCTATAACCATGAAACCCCAGTTTTGCACGCCGGCTCCCGTGGTGGATTGTAGCAAATTTTTGTGGAGAGGATCATTTGGCTGACTTAACACGTTCATCACCTGCATGGCACATATATGTGACAAGCACTTGATTTGCCGGTCTGTGCCAACTGCGCAAACCAATTTGCGTCACACACAGAGGGGTCAAGCTAAAACCGTCAAAGCAGATGTCGGATGATGTCTTGGCTAGAGTATACCCGCACTTTTTTGGCTGTTAAACAGTGGTTAATTTAGTCAAATAAGCAACTCCACATAGTAATCCACTCGCCTCTAAGAATGTGGTAGCAAACGTGTTGGGGGGCCTAGAATTGTGTCTTGCCGATGCCAGGGAAGGGTTCGCAACATTTAGCCTCGACCAGAGCCGAAGTTAATAACTTGTTTATTGAGTACTTATGGAATTCCGCTGTGAAAGGACCAGTTCATCTGAAAAGGTGAAATGTCGATCCCATTCTAAAGTCTCCTTTTACCAGTTGAAGTCGGTGTCCGTTTATGTTCCCATCATGTTGCAGCCGACGTTCGAATGCCAGGCATGCAGTACGTCAGTCCATCCTGGTGAATCTACAATGGCTGAAGTCAAAAACCGAGTTGTCAATATGTGGTATAACACCTTGGATATCCTCTCAAACTCAACATTCGTAAACAAATTGTGTAAATCGCATGTCAGACTGTCTACGGGAAGTCGAAAAGCTTGATTAGTCCCTTCACTGCTCGCGCGGTCAAGGTTTGTCGAGCCGCGTTAACCACTGCATCACGGATCACAAAAACAGTGATGGAAGGAGGTATTTAAGCAGTTCAAAAAGTTGTGCAATTTTGCCACCCAGAGGGCTGTAGAGGTGGCGTTTTCGAGCCCCACAATGCAGGCGCACCCCGAGTGGTTATTTATCCCCAAAACATGCGCCGCCGACATGCATGAAAACGATGCAATGGGACGTAATGGCTACTTGCCTACCTGACTGGCTAGCTGGCTGGCTGGTGCGCTGTTCAAGCTATTGGATGAATGAGAGGGTGGGGACGGTGAAGAGGGGCGGTTTGCATGTCCACACCTGTGGGTATGTGTGTGGGTTTGCACCTTCGTGAGTGAGAGAGAGAGAGTGAGAGGGAAGGCGGGAGAGCGCGAGAGAGAGAAGCTTCGGCAACTGTTTCAACCACCTGACTGTGGACATCACACACACACACAAACGCAGCTTACATGTTCGCACACAGGCAGGCACCTGGGCTTGCCTGTTGCATCTCAGGGTATAATTTATAGGTTTAATTGAAAAAGAGGGCCACAAAGTGCTGTAGAAGGAGGAGGAGGAGGAAGAGAAGGAGAAGGGAGTGATTGATTCTACCCGTTTGAACAGTTGCGTAGTGAAATCCTATGCGCACACACACGTTTGCCTGACTGCGGTGGAGTCATATTAATCTCCTCATCTTGACCTACCTCGCACTTCCCACCACCAAATGTTGCCATCATTCACTCAAAAATCGATCACATGAAGGCTATAATTGATGTCCGTTTGATCGGATGTCATTCATAGGAGAGGTTCGGGCCTGCAAAACGGAGCTGGTGATGATTAAACTTCGGTGGGGACAAAAAACTCGGTCGTAGTTTAAGTAGGTATCGAACACCTCTACCTTGAGTTAATTGTGAGCACACAAATGTGGCGAGGTAGCTACCGTCACCACTGGCATCAAAAGTCAGCCCTTTTTCTTCTTTCGTCGTCTACACTGGAAGAAATGCGACCAACCAGGGAACACCGACACAGCGGTGGAGAGGACAGCTGTTAATTACTGTTGCAGTGTGTAAAAAAGCCAGACTCGTGTAGTCATGGCAGTAGCAGTAGCAGCAGGAGAACTTGCAAAACGCGAACACACGTCTGCACACCTGTGAGCGGGAGGGCTAGCGGAGGGAATTTTTAGGCGTCACCTGTTCCTGCTTCGTACTCCCACTCTCCCCTCCCTCTTACCTACACGGACGTAAAACATGAGCGAGGGGCAGTGACGGGTAAGAACAATTGTTGCACCGCATTTGCGTAGATGCTGTAGCAGGAACTCATGCGCCTAGCAGGAATTTGTGCTTCCCTCCATTGTCAATGCATTTGTGCGTGCAAGTGTGTGTGTATGTTGATGGGTGGCTGGTTGGCTGGCTAGCTGGCTGGCTGGCACACTAGGGTCCAACTAATGACTGTTTGCGACGGCTGTTGCTGTTTCCCCACGTGTTTTTCCCGTCATATCCAACTCGCTCTTGCACCCTTAGCCTTCTCTCGCATTCTCTCTCCCTCCTTACCTCCACTCCTTCCTCGTTGATTTATAGCGCGCGCACCCACGCACACGCGCAAGTGGCCACCCATACGGTCACAGGTAGAAGTCCAGCTTGGTGATCTTTCAGGCATCAGAAAAATTGTCTCCTCAAATAAAAGTACAGAAATCTTACTCGCCTTGACTCTAACTATACGTTGGTCAATACCAGTTTTTCCAACTAATAAGACGTTGGCTTGTAAGCTCGTCCGAGGTGAACTTTCTCAGTCGGTTCAAGCCAAAGGCTGGGTAAAGAACCATTCCATCTGGATTAGTCGCAAATAACCCCTGATGGCATTACGAGACATGACCACAGAGGTGGTGGAGAGCTGAGAGCATGGGCGACATAAACAGGGTCTCATGGCAACAGCGTAGATGCCGAATTGCTAAAGGGTAGAGACGGTGCTCCGATAACACTAATCCAAGATTTTTGCCATCCACAGGGATCTCTTTCTTCCTTGGGTCATTAATTAGTGCAAAAAAATTTTCCTTTCATGTCTAACTTGTAAAACCTGAGCTACAACACCGCGTCTGAAGGTTCTGTTCTGGGTTCATGGCTAAACAGACCTTTCCTCAGTTTTTCAAAAGACGGCCTATTCCAGATACTTCCAAATTTCTACTTCCAAAACAACCTCTAAGTAAACTTTGGAGAATAACAAACGGTTTTATAATGTTCAGCCTTTGCAGCATCTACTGTAATCATTCAAAACCACACAACTGGAAGGCTAAAATAATGAAAAACGAATTCTTGAAGGGGTTAAATCCATACTGCGAAAGTGGACACCGTTTCTGTACAAGGAACATGGTATTAGTGTAATGACAGAGGGCATTTTAATCAGTGCACCCTCTAGTACACACGAAGAAATTCACAAATTCAGGCACACATTAATTGTGAAAGAACACGCAAAACTTGACACAAGCCTCCCCCCTACCTCTCTCTGCCTCTCCTCGAACAGGCGCTTGAAGGAAATGCCAAATAGGCGTGGGGTGATGGAGGTAACATCAGTAGATGCAGCAACAATAATGACGATGATGCTGCTAGAAATAGTGAATACCAGGATGAGGGTGATTACAGGGGTACGAGCGTCACCTGTTTAGGTGGGGATGGAGTGGACCCCAGTCCCATTCTCCCTACCTGAACAGTTAAACACACTTATCAGAACAGCAACAGGTGATATCGCGTGTCAGTGCGAAGTGGGTATGGATATAAGAGGAAATCGAGGGCTTTGTATGTACATATCCACTTTATTTGTGCTCGGTTCCTAAGGTAACACCTTCGGAACGAAGGTCATGACCTTGACTATTTCTGATCACCAGCAAGACCAGAATATCGCAGGGGAATATATCACAAGAGGCTATGGAATTTCCTTATTCTACCATGGTGCCAATTATTACAGTACTTAAACCACTAAAGCCCATCGGTCTTAGACAGAGAATCTCAACCCCGTTCTGTACTACTGATTTAAATTCAGTCAATTCGTATGTGATGCGACTCCTTATGGTTGACAACGATGATATCACATTTGACCCTGACGCCAAATCTTATACTGC